ACTGAATTCATTGACCTGTTATTTGCCACAGTGATCTGCAGACTGAAGACAGTTCAATTCAAACATCTGAAACATACCATTTACTACTTTGTATGGGATATAGTTAGATACAGTCATCCATTTTACTCTCTGGACTAACATGATTATTGAAGTCTTGCTCTTTTTCCTCCACAACAACTTACAGGCAGAGTTGTTACCAACGATACTTAATTACTCATTCACAAAGTAGTTGAGATTTGTCAAAACTGAACAGAAATGTCTTTTAGAGCAAGGCTAAAATATGCAGGCTAGCTAAAGGAGTCGGTATTCCAGGTTGGATAAAGACAAAATGTAATACTTTAGTTTTTTAAGGGGAGAAAAAAACCTAGTTATAGCTCATAGAATAAAGTGTGTCATTGTCGCAGCCTAACAATTTATAAAGCAATTCTCCCAAAATGCCCAAATGCCAGGGTTCAAATAGCAGCCCTGGCACTTTGGGTCTTAATAGTAGTGCCCAGCCATGTTGGAGCCCGAGGCAAAAGAGAAGTAACTCTGATCCTGCCTTTATTTAAAATTGTGATGTTTTGTTCACCATAGATGTTTTTGCATTCATTTCCTATTTAAAAATATTGCATTAAAACATTATCTTGATTACTGATTCTTTGGCACTCCCTTAAATTCTGCACCCAAGGAGAACACCCATTTGATGCCTCCCTCTCGTCCTGGTCCTGCTTAGACCGTCACCTCCCTGACCCTTCAGGACCTCAAAACCAAGGCAATAATAATCAAGAGGGTTATTGTGAAGACTGAGATAACACGTGTTTTGAACTTGTTCACTGTAAATGTGAACATACAAATACAGTTACAAAGCACTCCACAACTCCAGGATAAAGTTATTATATTACACATTCTAGTTAAAGATGTTAAGGTTTATGGAAGGCAGAAGGCCCATGATTGATGACAGAAACTGAATCGAGGCCTTAGAGGGATCCGAGGTACTTAAGACACACCCATCTCTACCTAACCTTATTTAAATAAAGAAAAAGGTATACAATCGCAGCCTAAGCAAGCAATTTCCTTTCCAACTTTCATAATTAATCTTCATTTGTAAATTCAGTTTGTCTCCAGATTTTCTCTTTTCAGTTCCTAAAAGCACTCAATTCACTGCAAATGAAAAATTAATTTAGGAAGAAACTGTTTTCCTCTTACTAAAAAAAAAAAAAAAATCGCAGCTCAAACACAGGCCAATGTCTACAAATAAATGCACTGCACAAGAAAATTATTTTTGAAAAAGTCGAGGACGTAAACCTTTTGATTCAAGATAGGGGAGAACTTTCTAGGCCGAAGGAAGGTGAGATGCATCCTGTTCTCGTGAGCTAATGATTGTTTCGAAGCTAGTTAGAATTCAGTGCTAATTGCATTTTAAAACACCACCTCTAAAATCCTTTTCTCTCTCAGGATCTTACATCAATGTTTCGCATTTTCAGTAAAACCTTTACACTTCACCTTTCTCACTCAACAAATCCTGAAGTTTAGATCAGCTGGAGGAGTTCAGTTCTGATGCTTTCCTTCCCCCCACAGGTTTGGATGTGGTGGTGGGGATGCTAGCAGGGGGAAAGGCTATATCCTGCCCTGTTTCGAGAGGGAAGCAAGAGGATTACAAGAGGTATTTTTGGTGGCTAAACCCAGGCTTGTCCATTCTAACAGAGTCATTAAACAACTTTCTAGTGTCATTCAAAGAACTTATAACAGAATCAATTGATTTTCATCCTCTACTTTATTAGTTGTGATTTAGGAGATAGAATGGCTCTGTTTACACAGCTGTAACATGTCAGGACCTGCAGTACATTATTGGCCTGAGGCCTCCGAGTTGCAGTCCATTCTCAGCAGAATCAATCTGAACTCGAAAACATTCCCTCTAGGAAACAGGCACATATCTACTAGCATAAAGCACTTCTTGTACAACTGAAAATTGTATTCACTTGAGGTAAGTTGCAAGTTCACCTTCCAAAAATAGGCCCTGACTTGTCATTGCTCTCAGCGTGTTCACGATGTGAGCAGAGGGCTACAAATGCCTCTTAACTAGATACCCAACGCCAGTGAATGGGTTACACTTTGCTGCTAGTCGGGTCTCGGGCTCTGCAAGCGGGACTTGTTGGCTGTTTAACATGGGCTCAGAGCATTGCCAATCTAAAATGGCTGCTCAGTAATACTTTAATTGCAGTTTCATGGAAACAAATTGCTATTTAACTGCAATAAGCATTTCTGTGATTTGGCTGGACTGGCAATAGGTGAGTCTTAATAACAAAGTGACAAGTAACATCAACTTGTAAATGCTGTGTCTCCAAGTCTTAGGGGCGTGAGCTCCCAGGATAGAATGCCCTGGTGAAGGAGTCTCTGGACAACCTCTTCTCAATTTAAGCACAATTATTTAGGCCACAGGGAAACTCTTCCCTGGTGCCTTGATATATAGCTCTTGGACTCACTGTTGTATAAATTTATTGGTCCTAAGAAATATTTTATATAAATAGTAGTACACATTAGAATCTTACTATACTGACATTTAAAGCCATTGAAGAGCTTCATTTTAGATGATTGTTTCAAATATCAGTGTTAATAAGAGCAAAAGAAAGAATTTAAATACAGTTAATAGTAAGAGGATGACAATTTCACAGGCTTCATTTTGGTGTGACCGTTTTCTCATTTTGCATTTTATAAGACACTACAGTCTGTGTTAAACTATTTCCTAATAAATCATGAAGAGCTGGAAATAGTTTCTTGTGGCAAACGATTTGGTTTGGAAAAGCTTCTTCCAGGCTCTCCTGCCTTTCAGGATGTGTAAATCTAAGTAGACAGGTAAAAAACAAAAAAAACATTAAACCCGTTGAGAGGACAATCTTTTTACAAAATTGTTTCATTAGCAAGAGTGACAATTTGCATGATTGAGACATTTATGTGTTCTCATAAACATTTTTTTATCAAGAGTTCAGCAGGGCTCAGTAACATTTGCTTTTATTTAATTGCACTTGCTTGTAGGGATTGGGGGCCATCTTGCTCTATGATGTGGTTAATATTAAATAAGTCCTTTCAAAAGAATGGAGTACATCTCACTAACATCACAAATGCGTGGATGAAAGGTGAACAAGCTGCTGGATTTTTTTTTTCCTAAGCCACGTTGGGGTTGGGGGAGGAACACAATCACTGCTCATATCAGAATAAACCTGAGTGTTTTTAGGAGGTCTCTATCCACACAGAGCATCCCCATTAGAGCCGGGTTTTATTGTTTGAAATGCCTCTGGTTTCAAGAAAGTGTTTTACCTAAAGCAAGACTACTACTTAAATATGTTCTATTGTATATTCATAGCTCCATTAGTCCTTCTCCAATTTAGCACATCAAAGAGAAGGCTTCATCACTTGCATGTGGATTATACTAACATGAGTGACATTTGTAATCTTATAGGTCTGCAACTTAAGAAATGCTTTTAGAAGCTCGTTATTAAATATGCAGCAGTGCTTGAGGAGCCAGTCATATAATAGTTCATTTAAAGTCTTTAATGACCTGAGCCCTTCACATCACCAAATGCCACACTGTATTACTTACTAAAAGTTATTAACTATCCCCTTTGAATTTCTGCACTATATGGGACATGAGTGCTTATGCCAAAAAGAATAGAGAGGATGCTTGCATTCTTATTAACATATCTCTCCCTTTCTGTCCTGAAGAGTCCACATTCCTTTAAAGTATCTTAAAGGGGAAAAAAAAAAAATTTAAGAACAAGAACTGGTTCCTAGAAATTCCGCAGGGACTTAACTCAAACAGATACTGTTCTGTCTGTGATTTTGTTCATTTCTTTTTCTTGCATTTTCTTTTCATAAAGCTCTAATAGTACTATTCACTTTAACTCTCTACCTTTCAATTCTCCTATAGGAGGTTCATAGTTTTGAGCAACTGATTTTTTCTTCCCGGACTGTGACAGTCTTTGAAAGCAGAAGATCCCAAACGGAAGCTGACTGCTAGCTGAGATGTACCGAGCTATTTCTCTCTATATAACCTGTTCTGAGAGGTCTACGTTGGGAGCTTTCCTGGAACAAGAGAAAAGAAAACAAATGCTATTTTTAGAAAGGATATTTAAAGTAGCATTATACACACACCTGGTTTTAGGAACCTATGATCGAAGTTGTAGTTGAGATTTGCTCCCAAGCCTAGTAGTGCAGCCTCTTTGGCTTTTTCCTCCTTCTAACACTGGCCATGCCCCCCCCCTCCCCGCCGAGTCCTTGGCCTGCACATGCTTTCCACAGGGGACCACTGCATGCAATGCAAGCGCTGTTGGGGACACGCTGCAGCCCAGAACTAGCCACTGACTATCTCAAGATGACTACTAAGTGAAAATCCAAATCCTACCCCAAACATATGGAAAGACAGAGCCGACAGAGGAGTGTAAGAGCAAAACCAAATAAACAAATCATACAGCAGACCACAGGAGTCTAAAAGCTCACCAGGAAATGGCTGCTTCACCCATTGAAGACGTCTGTACAAGAGCTCTGGGTCCCTAATGACTCAAGAAACTTCACAATATGTACAGGTATGGTTTAGAAATGCTATTTCCTTCAAAAGCCAGAAACTTGGGGAAGAGAACAAGATGGTGATATCACAGTCTTTAGCATGCTTTTCATCAATACCCAAGGCTTTCCTATTGAGGAAGAAAGAATCAACAGAATAGCTGAAGAATCAAACAAATATTTATATATAAACACAAAAGATTCACTGTGATATAGGAGTGTAATGAAGTGCTTAAGTTACCAGAATATTCAGAACTTATAAAAAGGACTCCGTTAGAAACATTGCTTTGTAGCCCTGCCAAAAATGGCATGGTTAATTTGAAGAAAACCTTATTGGCCCAGAGCTAAATAAATATATGTACCACCTCCCTCGACGAAGTTGGTATCAAACAAACTTACTAAATTTTCCAAAATACAGAAGAGAAAAAAAGCAGTGTTTAAATCCAAACTCCATCGAATATTTTTAAGTTTTTATTATTTAAATACACCATACTAGAGCAAATGTCTCTGAAAATATCACAAATAAAAGATTTTTCTTCTTCATTCAGCAAATTAGAAGTAGGGGGAAATTTCTACACAGTAGCTGCTATGAGCCTGATTTTTTTTTTCCAATTTTTTTTCTTTTTTTTCGTTCTTTTTTTTTTCCTTTGCCATGGAAGTAGCAACATTAGGACGAAAACACTTACATGCATACATACATTGTATTTTACAGAGATACAATAAAAGTGTTTGTGATAGAATATCACAAAAGCCACATCTCTTTCCTTTATCTCATGTTCAGTTTTGATTGAAACACATTTCCTTACAACACTTAAATATACAAAGAGCAAATAGAATGTTGTTAAGGTAAAACACAGGGTACAAACTCTGGCCAGTGCCCTGCTAATTGTTAATGAGGGTAGAAAGCAGATTTGAATGCTTCTTTTAATTAGCTTCATTAGTCATTTCCCTCCTCCCAAGCTCCCTCCCCCCCCCCCAAAGATGTCCTCCGGTGGATCTTTTTTCATTTTCTCTACAGTCTCCCATTAGCCCAGGTTCATGGAGTCCTTAATGTTCATATTCAGTCATTTTAATACACCAATAAATGCGGGAAGGGCAATCAAGACTAAAGAAGGTGCAATGCATGGCGCCGGCACTGGGGCTAGCTACAAAGGTGACTTGTCTACTGAAGACGCATGGGATTCGCCTGTGATGAACAAAATCTGAGATGAAGGCACGCATTCTGCATTCCTCTGACCTTTTAGCAGACCTGCAAGAAATACAAACGGGCATCTTAGCTAAAATGCTCAATTTGAGATATTAAACTCAAACATGACTGCTTTTGTCTCCTCTATGTTCACTAATCTTCTTTTATTAGATTACTTTCCAACTGTGACTTGATGGAGGCTTTCTACGCTACTTACTCCAGCAGCGAAGAACTAAAGCATAACGTTTTCTGCAGTTTTACTAGCAGAGAAAATGAGACAATAAATGGACTTTCATAAAGTTTCTGGTGTAAAGTTCTACAATTAATTGCTGAACTCTCTTCTAAAAAGAATGAATTACATCTCGCCTAGTAGGAGCATCATAAATGCACATGCAGAGCCAAGTGCCCCACAAGGAGGTTTTGGCGTAATATGCTCAACTGTGTGACCTCTGGCAAAGTTACTCTGGGTCTCAGTTTCCTCATCCGGAAAGTGGGGATAATAACGCTGTTACAAGGATTACATAATACAGATGGAGCACTTTCAACAGTGCCTGGCATGTAATAAAAGCTAAATATTGGCAGTGATCATTCTGATATCCCCACATGACATCCACTCACCCATGTCCTTCTCAGCCTAAAGGTATGTGTTGAAATATATATGTATATATGGGTATAAGGTAAACATATATACACATACATGCACACCCACATACATACAAATATTCAGATACTACTTTTCACTTAGTATCTCCTATCTGCTGTCACTTAATATTACGTAACTATTGTAAATATCTATGAATCAAACATATGTAATATGTGAATGACTTGTACTCGATCAAAAAATAGTTCAAGGGAAGTCTAACTTTCATGTCTAAGTTAGAAATGCTAATCCACAGTCATCAAATACAATCGGTTTGCAATTACCAAAATGAAATAATATATATTAGGTTTTCATGGTTTTTAAATGACATTTTGAGCTTCCCAGGAAGTTCTCGTTTCACCCTTTCCCTAACTTACTATAAAGCCTGAAGTCTATTAGGAACTGCAACCCCCCACTTCCAAGCTAATTAAAGTGGTGGAGGCTTAATTCCCCAGAGTGGAAGCTCAGTGTGAGAAAGGTAATTTGTCTGTCCAGAACAAAGATGCGGTGGCAGCCAGCGAGCATATTTAATAAATGAGCATCAAATGTCCTCTACGATGGACACACACAACACCAATTATGTAACTACAGGGGAATTGCGGGGTGATATGTAAACTAGAACACTTGCTAAATTTTCCTCCAACTAAAGAGATGTGAGCTCATATTTTACTGAAAAGCGCAGATAATTCTAGACCCAACAGCCACTCGAATGGAAGAAAGAATTCCAGAGCAGATAAAAATTAGGAAAAAAAAAAAATTAGCCACGATTCCTGATTGTATTTACGTAAGTCTCTAGAAGGCAGGATTCTCCTGAGGACGGCACAGGCTCCTTTAAATGATACAGACTATAAAATTTTGTAGATCCCTGAACACTAGTGGTCTGAGATTTCACTCAGGACACTACAGGAATTATAAACTCAGAATTATTTTTTCTCAGGAAATACCAAAGCCAATGATGCAGAACAACAGCTAAACTACACATCCCAGACACTGGCAACAAATTTCAGGAGAATAAAAGTTTAAAGGGACCAGATGATGGGGACCTATGCTTTCTATACAATTAGCTGCCTTTAAAGAAGGGGCGTATAAATAATCAACTCATTACTTTTAAGCCAGAGGAGCTTGGCTATTTTTATCATGCATCATGCACTAAAAACCTAATTGGTTCAGTGAATAAAAGGAAAGCGGCCAAAACTGATGTCCAGTTTTCCCTACCAAAAATACGGAGGATGGGGAGAGAAGAAAATAATAAAGTGGGGCGGTTTGTCATTTCTCCCCATCTCATCTCCTCCAGAAAGGAAACGCCACAGGGATTTGGGAAAATAATTGTCAAGCATTCTCTAGGTCCAAAAGGCAGTTTACGTTCCACCAGGAAGTGTGTTTTCATTACCTCTTTCCCCTTGCCCTCTCATTAGTATCTCTCTGGACCACGTTCAGCTTGTCCAAAACCTTTATTTACAAAAACCACCTTGTGAATTGACTGTGCTCGTGGCAAGCTGAGCACCAAGGGCAAATCTGTGAGACATTTATGCCAATGGGGAAATGTTCTTAATTAACATCACCCCCAAAACACAGGTTCTTACCAAGGTCTGACAAAAACATATCCTTAAGTTTTACTTCCCCCTGCCTTTTAAGAGCTATTAATTTTTGAAGGCCACCTGTCTATTTTTGGCTTCCAACATTAAGGAAGTATATACCAGTTGGTTCTTTCTGGTTACCTACTACGTTCTGTGATCCAAACTAAACATCCTACCTCTCCCATCCTGAAAAAAGTGTGCAAAACAGAAAACTCATCTGAAAGGCACAATACATGCAATCTTATAACCATGCAAACTAGATGTTTCTCCAGCTTTCCTCTCTGAAACCTCACAACTTACGCCATCTTGTACCCAATGAGACAGCACTGGGAGACCCTGCTCCTATTCACTACATGCCCCTTTGCACTTAGTCCCAAGCGAATGTGGCTACTGCCTGTATGCAGCACTGCACAGTTGGCTCCGTTTTCCATCTTGTCTCCCTGTCCCTGAATCCTCACGCTGCACGGTGGTGAGCTGCAACAATCATTTCTTATACTTTGTTAAGTCAGGGAAAGAAATGGTATAAAACCAGCAACAAACTTAAGATCTAACTTGCAAAAAACTACGCTTTTACATGGGAGGGGATGAGGAAGAGATCAACCATTTTATTCCTAGCACATTTCTTTTGTTGCGTTTTTTTTTTTTTGCTCCCAAGTATAATTGGAAATGGCTTTGCCTCTACATTGAAATGGTTATCTCAAAATATTTGTTACCTATCCATTGTTCTCAACTCTGCCCTATAGATTCACTTCTTTACAATTCAAAAAATAAAAATCGTAAGTATTTATATGTACTGGCATTCCTTAACGAAGCTTAAAATGCCTCATCGATGGTGACTGGTTCATCTGCAATAAAAAATTAGACTTCTATTCTTAAAACGGTATGCTAGGTAGCTTCCCATATTAGTAAATTAAACAAAGAAAAGTGTGCCTATTTTGATATAATTGACATTTACTTAATAAAGAAATGGAAAATAAATTTAAACTCAGGCCATAAATTTGAGTAAGGGAAAATGATAAAAATCAGCATTAAAACATGGCAGTATAATTTTAAATGGTTAAAAGTGTTCAAATATTAGTCATTTTCCCCACACACAGCATTAAGAAAATGCATTACAGAAGACAAAGAAGTCTAATATTTTTTCCTGAGCCTTTTGAAGCTTGCTATATTCCTATTTGCAGATAAATGTTGTTTTTTTTTTTTTTTGTGATCCTTACAACAGACATTAATGAAGTTCCTATTGTAAATCCATAAAGAATTACCAAGTGAAGTGTGCACTTTTTGTTTCAATGCAATAACTCAGTGCTGTGTGATTGCCTGGGTTAATGATGAAAAAGTCAAACATACTATCAGAGCTGATGGAAAAATCTATCACCAATCTGAAATTAAAATTCATCTGTGGTCAATAAGATTTAATATCCATGCAAGTGGCGCTGTAAAGAGTAAATGAATCAATGTCATCAATACATAATCAGTATGAAATATGATGTGAATAAAATTATGCGCACGAGTCATACATTTCACTCTTTTCTGGGCCAGTGTGGAATGAACAGTCTCTTAACTGAAGGTTGACAGTAATTGTTACAAATTAGGCACAGCAGTTATCAAAATGCACTCACTTGCATAGCTATAGGACTTATTAAGGAGATTAAAATAGATCTAAAACTATCCAGTACTGGGGCGGGGGGTGCGGGGCACTGGACAACTGTTGATCACCATTTTCCCTCTGAAGTGACTTGAACAACTGTATAAAATATCCTCACTTTTAACTCTGGTCCAAAAACTTTCCAGTTGTGGTTCGAGACTCGAGATACATAATCTTCAATGGAGCGATTCGTGGCCCAAAGTGATTAGCAAAGACCTAGAACTCTGTCTTAAAAGTCATAACTTCTTCAAATTTTATAAGACTATATATACCAATCAACAAAAATGCCCCCTTCTGGAATTACACAATGTTTGTAAAACTGCTCTTCTCAAAATAGCACGGTAAACTGGGTTTGGAAGGCAGGTGTCCGGGATTGCTACAACCGATGCAGCAATCATTCTTTCATGATAAAGAGATTTACTCCCTTTTTCTACCATAAATGCTCTAATTTGCCTCCCGCAATCACCTATTCACATCGTATTTCTGAATTTCAAAACTGTCAAGTGGGAAAACCAACTGGTTATATGGAAGTTTTATGCTTTGACTTAGCATGTGATAATCCTCTGTTCAACACTGGGGAGGCTACACATATAACTAAGTCAGGATCTTTTTGGAACTACAAAAGATTCACAATTTAATCAGTCGATATTCCTATTTCTGAACCCTGTACGTACGAGTCGTCTACATTTCTTTAAAGGGCACACGAAAACACATCCACCCAGGAGAACTCCCTTGAAGGTTGAACCTTCCAACTCGCTCTAATAAAGCTTATTAGCAGCTGCTACGTATTCACCTTCTGGTCTGGCAGTAGTGGATTGCTCTGAAGTGAATTCAAATGGCCATTGATGAGAGCTGTAGGTCTATCATGTTCACAAAATAAACTGCCATTGATGTAGTGAAACCGATCTCCTGGGACCAGGCGATTCCGGCAGGTAGAGCATGTAAAACACTGAAAGAGAAAAGCAAACCCACTGAAAACGAGTACAAATTAAGTCTTTTTTGTCACAAGTTTATAAATTGTTCGTAAGCAAGTATCCGTCAAGTACAGAGCCACTTAGGGTTTAGTGTTTTTCTTCCTTGGACAGGATTCCGGAAAACAGTAAGCCCAAACGCAATCAACTGGATCAGGCTAAAGCCGGGGCGGGGGGGCGGGGGGTGGGAGAAACCGGTACATGTGTGCTTCGGGGATGTGGGGGGTAGGGGGGTGTGGAGGGGGAGCGAGTATGTACTACTAATCACGGCCAAGCTACAACTTTAGTAGATCCCTTTAGTGTCTCCGGCTTGAGGAAAGAGTTTAAGGAGAAATGCTTTGTTTCCGCGTAGGAAAGGTAGGATGCTTTTTAAAAAGACAGGCGCATAGGAAAGGTAGGATTCTTTTTAAAAGACAGGAGGGGCAAATGCTACCTTCAGATGATACACATTGCCTTGGGCCCTCATGACGAGTTCGCTCGCAGGAATCGACTGTCCGCAAGCGCTGCAGGCACCGCTATTCCCAAATAACCTGCAACAAAGATGACGGGGGACACCAATGAATAACCCGAAACCAAAGAAAGAGAACGAAAGACATCCCCTGGCCTCTGGCCCTCCCTTTGAAATGCATTTGATGAGAGGCTGAATTCTGACTCAGGCTTCAAATTTTAGGAGTGATTTATATAATCCAGGAAAAATCCTTTTTGGGGGGCCACAGCTAACTTCTGCCTACCGCAGAGGAAGAGATGCCCCGGATTTAATCAAAATATTGACTTACACCTCCAGCAAATACAAAACAATTCTGTTCTACACACATTTTATCAGATTACTGGGTTCATCATAAAAAAGAAAGATACAATTCATGACTGGGGTTTAAATGCATTGTGTCCTTGAAATTATATGAAGAACTCTTTTGTACTTTAATCATATCTTGAGATATGAGTCATCAAAAGGGTTAAGAGGATTTGATTGTATATCTAAGAAGACATCATGCTCAGTGTATTGAAACTCCCGTAAACCTCCATCAGTGCAGACTTTCCATTAGAAACTCTCTGCTATCCAGGTTGATATATAATGTGTATGGGTTAACCTTTTCAATCATGGTGTCAACACTTAAGATTTGCCTCTGCTCATCTCTTTCATCCTAACCTTCTCTCTCTCTTGATAATGAAATGCTTGCTCCAACTTCCCTCTATCTGCTCCTGAGTCCACAATTTAGATTACTTCATCTCTGCTAGCAACAAACTGAATGAAATTTCGATTTGAGCAGAAAGTAATTTACCGGGATCTGGACCCATTTGTCATCATATCTCTCTGGGTGTTTGCTGTATCACTGCAGTTTTCCTATGCAATCAAATGAGACCACAACATCTGCCATAGGGGGAGGAGGGGGAGAAGGAGAAGGCTGCAGAGGAGGGGAAAGCTCAAGGAAGTGTGGTGTACTGAAGAAAAATATATACGTAATTCCTAATATCCTTCCATGGGCACAACAAAATATTTTAATGAATACCGAACTTTGGCTTTTATGATGTCTGTAGACTCAAGCTGGGAAGCTTTATTTGCTTTTGGGCTTCCCTTTTTAATATCCACAAATATTTATTAAACAGACCAAAGTGATTTCACATTGAAAGGTGGTATCAGAACAAGTAAGCAGGGTCAGAGAAGCACTTTTCAACAATGAAAAACAACGTAATAGGACTTACAAATTAACATATTAGTGTCATAATAAATATTAGTATTTGCATTTCCTCCTTGTCCAAATAAAGTCATAAAATGCAGTTTGTGTCAAACCAGGAGACATGTTCCTATAGAACACCCCGTAATCTGAATGATTGCGGCATGCCTCTATATAAAAATAATTGCTTTGTGTTTTCAGAATCTGGTCTTGCAGAAGAGGCTTGTCATGTTCAAACTACTAATTTGCTGTCGCCACTTTATTGAAAATAGCCTGTAAGTTGTTATTAAATGTATCGACTGAACGACAGGGAGAGTAGTAAAACTGCCCCTTAAGATGGCTTTTAATAGGAAGCCCGAGAAACAAATTTTGCAGCAGCATCGATTTGAAGAGTTCAATCAAAACTCCATTTCAAAACTAATTAGTCTGAGATCCACGACACATTGACACGTTCTTGCAGAATCAGAACAGTTACAGAGAGAAAGCTGAAATATAATACACTGTCAGGACCTCTAGCCACAGGACCACACCGTGTGGGAGCTCAGGGCCACTGGCCTGCCGTCTCCTAACGCTGGACCACTTCAGGAACAGTGATGGGGACCTCCTGGTGTCTCACCTCCAGCACCCTTCTCGAGTGTTGAGTGTGGATTGTCACTGCTGCCGGGGGCAGTGGGGGCGGGGAAGGGTTCTCAGAAGGGCAGGACGGCCAGAGAATTAGCGTGGCCATGGGCAAAGAGTTTATAGTCAACAGCAGGGCTCTTCCAATCCTCAAGAGGAGTACCAAATTCAAACAATATGAGTAAAAATAAAGTTAAAAACATGTCGATGTGGCTGAATACATGCTGAGGATAAAGGTAGGGAGGGTGCAGATAATGGGGATGGGGAACAGAACCCTACTACAGCTAAGGACCAAATATCCTCTAACAGCAACCCAGAAGTATTTTAATGGATAAGAGTCTATAATTATGGCTGCCACTACCAACAGGTACACCGTGACACTCCATCTCAAAAATACCCTTTCACAGTACCGATCTGATTACCCAGCCTAAGTGTTCATTTATTTAACAATTCACCCTGAGTAAAGTCGGTTGTATGTCTTCCACATCTAAGTGTATTTTAATAATCAGGGCAGTCGTATGTAATCCAAAAGCTTTTCATACATCCTATTTTCTCCAGTGCCACTTTCATAACCTTTCAGGGAACAATCAGCCACAAAATCATGGGATTCCTAAAGTGTCAGAAATTACAGTTACAAAGTTTGAAAATGACCACAATCTACCCGGGACTGATGTGCTATTGAACAACATTATTAATGGGGTTTAAGATCTTTCCACGTCTACAGCTTTCATGCTGCCTCAGAACAGAACAACTTACATGTCTACATACATTTTTAATCCCCTTCTACCATAGAGGGAAGGCTACCATTAGAATTCCACCCTTTTTCTGAAAAGTTGTGTGGTTTTCTCTTCTTTTTACTTTTTCTTTTTTTTTTTTACAACGTTTCTGTGCGCTGTAGAGTTAATTATCTAACCAGGGGGACTGTCCAGGACAGTGTTTGATTTAAAAGGCTCGAGGCTTTAGGTGCTCAATTAAGTAGCTATCGGTCTCAGACTGGACTATAATGGGCTCTTTTCTCTTTAACTCAAGCAATGGGGAGATATACCCCAGGTCAGGCTAATTAAAGCCAGGGGAGTCTTTAATTGTGATGACAGAATCGGTTTCAGTTTCCTTTCTTTGGGTCCTCGGTCCAAGAAGGTCGTTAATATTTCAGCATTTGGGCAATGCAATCAATCACAAACATCAAGAGGTTCCTTATATGGGGAAAAGGGAAAAGAAAGGAAGAAATCGCACCAAACCTCTGCACTTTAGAGGTGCTGTGCTCCTATATGAAAAACGCCATGTGGTGTTAGTACCGCTCACCAGCTCCGCTCCAACTCTCCTTGCTGACATGAAGAGATGGACAGCAGTTGTATTTTTAGTTTAGTAATAATGCTTAGCATCTTTTAGTAACTTCAATGACCCATAGGTGGGCTTATTTTCAACTGCATTATTACTTCAAGCCAAATACACGCAATATGGCGCGCTACCTGTGTTTTCTAAACTGCTTTCAGGCAAGGAGAGGTGCGTTTTTAAAAGTATGGCTGAAAGGTATACATTTGTACCTGCAAGTAAATATCAGCATCCTATCTGAGGAGAAAAATGCACATCCACAGCTACTGATCCAGAAGCAATTGGTTTTCTAGCAGGTTCCTATATTTAATCTAAATTCTGCACCAGCTATATTAAATGTAACAAAGAAATGCAACCCAGAAATTATGCCTGGAGCCAAGTCCATTAAAGGTACTTCGGAATAACTAGAGACCAAGCACCTTAAAAGCACCAGAAGCTATTGATACTTAAGAGGGGGGCTGTGAATAATCGCAATTGCTGCATTAGAGAGGGGAGGGAGGAAAAAAAAAAAAAAATCAGCCAAATTACGCTTGGTTAATTCAGAGTAACAGATCTGCCCCCAAGTGAATTGGAGGCCTTGAATTAATTCTGTTATGACAAATCAAGATAAACGTTCCCCCTAAATTGCATGCGATTTAATTAATTTTTGAGATCCTGGGTTTTTTTTTTTTTCCTAGCTAATAGTTCACATGCTCCTGTGCTGTCATTGTGCTTGAGTGGGCAGACTTCAAAGTGATATTAAATAACCAACTATTAGATTTACCTAGCACGTCCTATTGGAAAAGTGCCATTTAATTACCTAGCCTGTTCAATTAAAGGGACAGCATTCTCTGAATATAGCAGCTTGCTGTTGATTACCAGGGAAATGAACTCGATGTCTGGCGGCGCCTCGGTTCCTAACGCTACCCCCTCCCCAAACACACCCTCTACCATCAACCACCCCCAATCCCCCCGCCCGGGACCCCCACCCCTGGCCGCGCGGCGCTCACTGCGGCTGCGGGCGCCACGTGAACGCCCGAGAGGAACCGGGGGAAAGAAAGAGCGAAGGCTCGCACGGCTCCCGCCCTGCGCTCGCCCCCTCGCGGGCCCGACGCCGCCGACCCGTAGGACGCCTCGAACGCGGCCTCGGGCGGCGCTGAGCCCCGTGGGGCCCAAGCGAGAAAGGGCTGGCCGAGGACCTCCACCCGGGCTTCCGGTGCGTTTCCTCGCCCTCCCCGGACCTGGGGCCCCACCCGTCGGTCTCCGAACTTCCTCCTTTTGCTGCACTTTCCGCGCCAGTCTTCGGGCCCGAGATAGGGGTGGAGGAAGAAGGGTTCGAGGAAAAGAGAGTTTCGAACGCTACTTGGTGGCGCTTGGATAGAGCTGGGGGGTCGGAAGCTGGGGGTAGGGGGAGAGGGGACAGTTACAAGGTTCGCCGACTTTTGTAGCGGGGGTGGGCAGGCGTTGGCCCCTTTAAGATCCACCCTCCCCCTTCCCCTCCACACCCCCCCCCCCCCGGTCTTCCTCTCCCTCTCTTAGAGGCCAATTTTGTTAATTAAATGTTTTGTTTGCGACGCAGCTCTCATTCATTGCGGACACGTCATTCGGAGCAGATCTAAGCCAGAGACCAGATCTCATTAGATAAAGCCCATCAGAACTAAGAAAATGGAGGAGCCACTAATTAAAGCTTTTAATTGTGCGGATTCGCTGCAGCAAGGCAGCGGCTTTATCTGAAATCTTGGAGGGAGAGGCGGCAGAAGACCAGTTCTGCCCAATCAACACCGGGTCACGCAGGGGGAAGGGACTAGGGAAAAGCAGTGCCCCCCCATCCCCACCACCACCTTCCCGGCCCTGCTTCCCCGCAGCTTTTTAGCCATATCTTGGTAGTTTTCAAAAGATCACACCGCAAAGTCAGTTTAAAGCCCCTTAATAGATCAGTCTGTGGTCCCAATCGGGCGGAGGTGCCCAAAGATCCCCTTCACCTGGCGTCTGGCAATCGGATTACTCCGCTCTTCGGTGGCCACCCTTGCAGAATTCAAAGCTCCTCCAACAAGGGGGGGGGGGGGGGGGGGGAACTGGGGAGGGAATAGCTGAGAGGAAAAGGACCGCGCGAGCCTCCTCACCTTCCCACCCTTCCGGCATCTTGATCGGCAGAGGGAGGGAACACTGAAGGAAGACTTCAGAGATTCCTCAGCCTGGAGGTGGGGGAGCTCAGCAGCTGACGAGCCCTGAGCAGAGTGGGAGGCCATGATCAATTTGGTACTGAGCTATAACTCCTCTCTCCCTGGAGAGATCTAAGGTTCTCAGTTTAGCATCTAGTTCAAGAGCAAGCCTGGCTCCAGTTTTCAAAATCAGAGGAAAAAAGAGAGAATACGGACCCAATTAATTAAGGCGCGGGGCTGGGCACACATCCTCCATTGCTCCATTAAGCCAGTTGAAAACACCAAATGGGCATTTATATTTGGTCCCAAGAATAGGGAAAGGAGCCGATTCCCAGAAAGCCACTTGCCTAAACTTGTCTTGAGGGAATGCAAGTGGACCCATCTTCTTTTTAATTAGTGGTAATCAGAAGCGAAGGCTTTCTCGAAAGCACTTGGAGATGAGGTGAATCTGTACCATTCACCGCATCTGAACAGTCAATTTTTGCACTTTAAGCTACCCTGCCTTCTTACCAGTTTTGCTCTCTATTTAATTACAATACTGTCAAAGCTCCTGGCATTGCTTGGAAGGAGGACCAGAAAGCATTACACCCATGCTCCTGCTGATTTTCCAACATTTACTTCTAAAAGAACACTTAGTGAAATTAATGCTGCCATCTTAATTTAAAAATAAAAGCCCTCTCCCGTCCTGTATTTCTTTTACTTGGCTGATTAAGGATGCCAGCAGAGTGGACATAGGTTGCATTATCGGAATAACCAAATGTCATTTTACTCCATCATTTTAGATTAATGAAATTACTGGGGTAAACATACACATACTCAGCTCTGAACTGTACTGGGATCTTCTGCACTTTTAGATGCAGAGTTGAGGGAATCACAATGGAACTAAACTTTGTACAAAATACCTCATCCACTGATTCACCCGCATTGAAGAGGGCAACGTTTTCTACTAATATTCTATAAAGAAAACGGTTTAGGACAAAATTTAACTAGAATGCAATTCTTCGTAAAAGTGAGCGGTTCTCTAATATCAACGGTTCTCTAGTATCAACGGTGTGCGTGTGGGTTTTTTGTTGTTTTTTTTTTTTTAATTACTGGATGTTGAAACAGAACACCTCCTAGAAGCATTCATGTGCATCAGTCTATCAAACCATTTACTCAAATTAAATGTGTAATCCTTCAAATGCCTCCTTTCAAATTAATGAGTTTAAGTAGCTTGAGTTCACCTGAAAAGATCCTATAGGCACCTGACCTCCTGAATTCTTTCCATTAATTGCACTGAAACTTGTTGGAAAAGACTGCTTACACAGGCATATGAATGTTCCTATACATTGCTTTAAAATGCAAGATTAGTATAATTCTATAGCCTCTTTTCCTAAATCTCTTTTGCGGATCAAGAGTAGTGATACAAACAACAACAACAACCCAAAATCAGAACATTCCTCAACTGAAAAACCTGCAAATTCTACATCACAAACCACACACTAACACTGAGCATTACAAGCCTCCAAGTAACAGTCTACAAAGAAAAACACTACCACTGAGGGTTTTTATGTTTTGTTGGGGGGGGGGAGAGGGAGGGAATTTACTATGAGAAGAATTACAAGTTTTTAAACTGATGGGTAATCAGCATTTTTCACAAGGAGCACAAAGAATGAGTCACAGTTTTCCACTCAAAAAAGTTTAAAAGAGCTTATGTAAATATAATTAGCCATCACCATAGGCAAATCATTTCTAACTACACTTATTTCTAAGGCAATCTTTTGTCTCTGAGTTTCTATGTAGGTCCCTACCATTCTTTAAGGTAGCAGCCTAACTCCCACTTTTCAGGGTCCAGTTGGAGCAGACCACTTAAAATTCTGGTCAGGAGAGTGCCCAACCTTTGCACACCTAACAGCCCAGTCCCACCAGATGGGCAAGAGTTTTTACTTTAGTATGGCTTCTGCCATCAATTTATTATTAAAAACTGGAAGATTAACACATGCTCCTCGAACCCCTTAAATCGGACCAACCAGGTTTTTGAGGTGAAGGTTACACCGTATTCTCACAGGTACCCTGTTCCTTTCCTTAAAACCCTTGGTAACCTTTGGCCTTGCCATTGCTCTGCTCACCATCTAAAGGGAAGCAGCCAAGTCTTACCTAATGTAGTCATTTCTGCAAAGGATCATGCCGCTCTTGGTGTAACAGGACGTGCCGATGTCGCCCAGCTGCGCCTGGCAGCAGGAGCACTTGAGGCACCGGCTGTGCCAGTAGCTGTCCATGGCATAGAGCAGAAAGCGGTCCGCAATCTTGCCCCCGCAGCCTGCGCACCGCTTCCAGGAGAGGGAGCCGGCCGTCACGGGGGGCGGCTGTGAGCTGCTGCCCGGATTCACCATGGTCTGCAGAGGGCGGGAAGGGGACAGGGAGAGAAAGACAAAACAGGGGCGATGCAAAAGTTAGTGGTAATCGCCGCGCGAGAGAGCGAAGCCGTGCCCCCCCCACCCCCAGAGCCGCTGGAAGGAAGCAGCAGGGCAACGGCGCGCAGGAGGGTGAGGGGGAGAGGGAAGGAGGGAGGATAGCCGGCAGCAGCCGCCTGTTTACTTTTCTCAAGCTTTGTTCTGGGGCCACGAGCTCCTCTCAACTTTCCAGCGCTCGCCGCCGCTGACAATTTCAGCTTGGGTACTGTCAAAACTCCGAGAGCGAGGCTCGGCGGCGCGCTCCACCCCTCGCGGCGCCTCCTCCCAGCCCCCGCCTCCGCCCACTGCCCCCTCCTCCCTCCTTCGCTGCCCGCCTCCAGCAAATGAGGGTCAAACCCACCCACCGCCGCGCCGGGCCCCTCCCCGGCCCCCGCCGAGCCCCGAGAGCGAGCCGAGGGGAGCGGGGAGGCGGCCCCCGCCGGAGCCACGCTCCCTCCCGAGCTCTGCCCTGGGAAGTGCAGCTGCAGTTCACAAGTTGGAAATAGTTCGGTTTTCTGAAAGGGAGGGAGGGAGGGAAGGAGGGAGGGAGAAACCGGCAGAGGGGAAGAGGGAGAGCGTGGTGGTGGGAGGGGAGGCGAGGGGACGCGAGGGAGGGGGTGCGGTGTGTAAAGTTGCGAAACTGGTTTTTCGTATTTTAAACAGCACCTTTCACATGCCATTGTGGTGACCGCCATCTCCCATTATTGTTCCAAATCTCATTTCATTTTGAAGATCAATGAGTGTTTTCTCTGGGTTTTCAGGACACAGGCAAGAATAATAGATCATTGAACTTTAGGATGCCTGTTAACTTCCTATACAAACACTCTCCACTTTGGTCTCACTAATCTGCCCTTGATCAGCAATTTAAATGCTAAAGCTTTGTTCCTCCAAAAGGGGGGGGGGCGTTACAGATAATATGCGAGAAGGCACTATTAAGGGATGCACAAGTTATATTCGAGCCAGTCCTGCTGTCACCAAAAACTGCTTTTAAAAATTCCCCACTCTTTCTAATGAATGTCACGAGAGGCAACTGGGGTATAATATAGGAATCAATTTATAAAGCTTAGCCTAAACCGATTAATTTGTTGCCTCCAATCCTGAGTCCAATAAAGTCCTAGTGTTCCTCCAGTCACTTATTCTATAAAAAGATCAAGTTATTTACTGCCAATTAAGCAGCCTGTTTTGTCTTTGTCCTCTGTAAGCCGAGAGTGTAGGCTCCCCCTGAGGCTCCCGGCTATCTGCTCAAGACATTCAGCTGATACCTCAGAAGGGAGAGGGCGAACTTTGCCTGTCCCCGGCCCAACTTGGCTGCTGCAAAAAAAACCAGGGGAAGGGAACGAAACAAGGACTCGGGTTCCTTAAATAGGCCGATTTTAAACACATTTCCTCCGAAAGAGTCCCGGAACGTGTGTCCAGTGACCGCACAATAAACCAGAATAAGAACTGCACCAATTAAAGCTGTAACAAAACCCTGAGACTTTGGAAACAGGACCACTCTAAAACCCATTAGCATTGCATTTATCCGAATGCATCATACCTTTATGTAAATTGATTTATCTGATGCATTTACTCGAGGAATTGCTTTTTGTTACAATTTCAGCCCTAACCCAAATGAATCTGCATTTCCTGCCCGAGGTCTTTAAACTGTTTCCCCCAACGTTTTAATCGCTCCGAATTCCTTTTTAAAGTGGGAGAGGGAGGGAGGAGATTCCAAGCTCTTCCCCGCCCCCATCTTTGGTGAGAGGTAAATATATATGTATATTTTTTTTGAAAAGGAAACATTACACTGAGAAAAGCATCCAGTAACCCCATTAGCTAAAGCTCTTAAGGACAAGCAATACCTTAATGCTGATTAAATCTAAAAGAGATGAATCAAGAGGACTGACCAGAAACTGACTCCCCTGATAACTAAAGACGGGCCCTCATCAAGTTTCATTTAGAGTTGGAAAAAAAAGAAAGCTTTTAAGTTAAATAGGCTTATACTCTAGTAATTACATAGCCAAGCAATTTAGGTCCTGGGATAGTCAGTGAAATAGAAAGCAGAACTGGCAGCTAGAGGCAAAATCTGCCCCTCTTTAACAACGTCTCTGGTGTTTTTTAATGGAGACCAGGGGAGGGACAAACGTAGCGCTGGCAATTTGTAGTACAAAAATGGATGCTTAATTCATGTCTTGATTTTAATTAGGTGATTCACCGGATTTCTCCTGGATTGGAACAAAAGACTTATAAGCCAAGAGGAATTTTTGAAAAGAACCAGCAATACCGAATCCTGCTCACTTAGATCCTTTCTGCCACTGTTTCAAAAATAATGTTTACTGGGGGGGTGGGAGGGTCGTGACTATTTCCCCCACATTACTTCTCATACTTAAACCCTCATTTAAGCACCTCCTGCCTCTCCCTTAGGAACTGAAAATATCCCCACCCCCCTCCAAGGTCCCCACCAGCCCCGTCTCCAAGAAGAACCCTTTTGTAAGCAGGAACCGCTACGAAGCTGGCTGCCCGGGGCTGGCTGCCCTCCGTGCTAGCTCGCAGGCCGGCCTCGGTAGTTTCAGACTCGCGCATTATCTAAGCCGACGTATTGTTTACTTGCAATTTGGGACGGTCAAGGGAAGGAAGCCAAAGAAAACAGCCCGGGCCCAAATCGGCCCCCTCCTCCCTCTCCCCCCTCCTTGCCCGCGGCTCCCCAGCCGTCCCCTTACCTGCTTTTCCCCTATATTGCAATATTGCGAGAGGCGGCGGCGGCGAAAAGCGAGCGAAGCCGCTCGGCTTCCAAGGAAGGGGCGCCTTGGCTGGCGGAGCTGGAGGGAGTGGGGGGGGGAATGTTCTCGCAGAAGCAGGAAAGGGGAGGAGGGGGCTAAGGGCTGCTTTTTTTTTTTTTTTAACGCGTTGCTCTGAGGCTGGGTTGGGGGGCCCCGCGTAAGTGGCAGGCGGCCGAGAGCAGGAGTGTCAGTCTCAGTCCTCGGCGTTCTCCTCCGCCTCCGGCTCCGCGCGAGCAGCTGCAGGAGCCCTCGGCCCGCGCGGCGCGGCTTCAGGCGCGGCGCAGCGGCAGCAACTGCTGCAATCGCTGCTGCAAGTTTGGCAATGTGGCTTCACTTTGTATATTCCCCCGCCCGGCGGCCCCCGCCCCCGCCCGCGCGCCTCCCGCTCCTCCTCCTCCACCGCCTTCCTCCCTCCCGCGCGCTCGCTCGCTCGCTCGGGGCTGGCGGCGGTGGCCGCTCGGCCGAGCTTCCTGCCCCTCCAGCCGGGGAGCAGCCGCAGAAACAACAGCCCCGGAGCGGCGGCGGCGGGTGCGGAGGCCGGGAGGGGGGCGCACCCGGGAGCCGGGGAGCTGCGGCCGGCCGGGGCCCGGCGCGCTGGAGCCTGCGCCGCTGCCCGGGCTGCTGCCGGGGCCGCTGCTGCTGCCCGGCTCGGAGGAGGAGGAGGAGGAGGCGGCGGCTGCGGCAGCGCTGGCCTCTAGCCGGCTCGCTCGCTCCCTCCGCGGCGCTTACACATGTGTTACTGACAGAGCAAAATCCCAACTACTCCCCGGCTCTGCCGCCGACGTCAGCGACCCTCAGCCACTGGGCGGCCGGATTGTTCAGGCGGAATAATAAAACCTGCCAATCCGGGGAAGGACAAAGGGATGACTGAAACGAGACTCTGGGGGCGGGGGAGAGAGGGAGGCGGCGGAGCGGGCCTGGGAAGGAGAAGGGAAGGGCCGCAATCAGGTGGGGAGCGGAGACCCGGGCGCCGGGGCCCCCGTCGGGGCCGTGCTCCGCGGCCCGAGCTCGCGAGCCGAGGCGCGGGGCGCCGCTGCTGCTCTCCCAACGCGCGGGCGACCCTGGGGACCCGCGCCCGCCCGCCCCTCGGGGACCGCCCTCCCCTCGCGCCGACGCGAGCCCCTTAGGAAACTTAACTTCGCGTCTTTCTAAGAAATGGGTCTCTTCCTGTTTGGGAAGAAGAGTCTTCCCGAAATCTTAGGGCGGTGGACTTCACACACACGCAGAAGAGGTTTTGTTTTGGTTTTTTAATTCCCGGCGTTCGAGATTGATGAGCCTTAGTGGAAGTTCAGTTAACAAGGTAAAGACAGAATCGGTAGTTCTTAAATACTGCGCACGTATCCCTCTGCTCCCCATGAGCCCGAGTACGAACCAAGAACCTCGTAGGCATTTCATGGATATTTATCAGTTGTTGGTGATGGAAAGATCACAGCCTTTACTTTGGAAGTTGAGGGAAACTTCGGGGAGGAAGTGTTGCCCTCTCTCCACCCCACTCTGGAGGATGAGGACTGATGATTTCTCATAGGCCCCGAAAGCAATAGAAGTAATTGCAACATTCTTAATCTCACAGCCTCTGGGGAGTAAAAAAGGTCACGTCTAGTATAAATTTAACTGTTCAGGAATGCTTTTAGGGTGGTAGCCTGAGAGTCTCTTTCCAGGGCCCAAGCTCAGCCTAGATGTTTGAATACCTTGTCATTCAACTTTATCTACTCTGCCAAATAGGTTTAATAAATCTCTGATCTGAGGCTAATATTAGGTCTGATTATTATTAGTACGTTCCAGAGAGATTTTTCTGGTGGAAATTATCATGAAAGTGCAAAGCCCTTCTGCTAAGTATCATTAAGTAAAACCAGCCTTGTGGGACAAGTTTTCATATTGTATCACGTACAGTACTGCTGGATTGAGAAAAGGGACCTGCAGAAGAATCTGGCTAGACAAGGCAGTTGTTAAACATCTATGGATTTAGTGTCTGGGGGGTTTCTGTCTTTCAAACCATCAAAATTCAGGCTGCGAAAGAAACAGTAATCATTGCCTGTAACATCAAGCAGAAGACATTTTAAATACCAATTAGAATAGTCATTTCTTTATATTTCTAGCACCTCAAAATTAAACGACTTACTTTTATTGATTGGTATTTAAAATTGCATTTTTATGATCAAGTCACTTTGTGCACGTATAAGAAACATTTTTTTAAAAATGATTTAAATGTAATAGTAATTAAAATGCCCTGTACAGAAAACAGCTGCAGATGGGTGTGATTAAAGAAGGCCATCTTAAAAAGATGTGATGTTCCTTTAAGGTTAGTAAAGAAAACTCAATTAAACCAAATGAGGAAAGGAACCCCATAAACAAATAATGCACACATTTTAATTCCCTGGTTCAGTTTCAATTTGTTAATAATTTATAATAATCAAAACGAGATGACACAAGATCTTAGTGGGCTACAATTAAGTTATGATTTGTCATGTACAAGTAAATATCCTGCTGTGGCCCTTAATTTTCTCATCTACAAATGAAGGAATTAAGCCAAATGGTCTTTATTTGTCCTTTTTTCCTAAAATGATTTTCTTAACTAGAACACATAATATATAGGTCTGTAATGAATGGTGGTACTTTAGGCATTTCCTGAAGTATGTGCACTAAAAGGAAATCTTTATTTTAAAATGAAATGTTAGAAATTTAGTCAGACATCGATGTCACTGAGTGATTATCCAAAGCATCCATGTAGTTTTGTGGAAGGAAGGAAGGAGAAAAGCATGGCTGAAACTTTGAATACAGATCTCTAGGCAAGAAGAGGCCTAGGAGGTGGTTTCAGTGTTTTGGCTCTAATAGTGCGTGGAGCGAGGTCTTTACACATGTCCCGGCAGATTGGAGTGGGTGGGAGTACGTTACCAGAGAGCTTTATTTGCTGATGTTGTGGTTATAGAAATACAAAAGCGATAATGGCTAACAGTCTCTTCTGAGGGGTAAGGAAGTAAATACATTCACTGTAATCAAAATTCAGGTGTACTTTAACCACAGCGCCACCTCTGGGTAGTCTTTATTTCTGCATTCTTTGCATTTGGCCGTGCTCTCTTCTTGGAGTCGCAAGACCTGTGGTCTGAAAGTGCTGGCTTAAGTGAGGTAACAATGTCAATCCTCTATTTCCACTGATGCTGAACTCACAGAAACTGTGTAAACACACACAAGTTCGTTGTGAATAAGGGGAATCTGTGTTCAGGTATTCCTTAAACGAGTATAAAACAGCGCTCAAAGTCATAAACCTGGTATATAGTAAAATTGCCTAAATGCAAAGTAATAATGGTATATATATTATGCCCGCTAGTTCAAGAAAACAGACATCATACATGCCTCATTTAGCCTACTCACGTACAGTGAAAAATAAGAATACAGGGTTTTGGAAAAGAAAGAGAAAAAGTGTTTCTTTCTTGAGTCCTAATTAAATACAGGAACCATACTGATTCTAGATCAAACCCTCATTCCCCAGACTCACCCCAAAATGATTTGTCCATACCTTCCCTTCTTCACATTTAAGTCCTGCAATCATAATCATCTTTCCCTTCTCCAAGTGACGGTTATCTAGGAATCTCCCACGGACGGCCAGAAGTTCTACACAGACCCACGTTCAGGCTTCCGTGCCTAGAGAACAGCCAGACTATTCGATGCTGATACAGCAACCTCCCTGATAGAGTGCCCCCGATGTTTCTCAAGAAAAAGATATGTTAGGGGCGCCTGGGTGGCTCAGTTGGTTAAGCGACTGCCTTTGGCTCAGATCATGGTCCCAGGGTCCCGGGATCGAGCCCTGCATCAGACTCCCTACTCCTCGGGGAGCCTGCCTCTCCCTCTCCCTCTGCCTGCCGCTCCCCCTGCTTGTGCTCTCTCTCTGTCAAATAAATAAATAAAATCTTTAAAAAAAATTATAAAAAAAGAAAAAATATTTTATAAACTTTTAAAGTCAATGCAGAACTGTGTTTGAAGGCAGCCTGTTTAGGAAGAAAAAAAAATCTTTTTAAATCTGCCTACCTTTATTGCTGCCATCGCAGAGACGCCTTGAAATCAGAAGGTTCAACGAAGGTGAATCTGAAAAGCTTGAGTCTGGGACAACAATTCCGAAGTGTAAAAGAGGGAATGGAAGTTACTGACAGATGGAACAGGAAAATCCGAGGAGGAATGGCAGTTAGGTCCCTGCCGGTGTTTTATGGTGGTGGTGTTGCCTGGGAGGCGCTGCAGAGTAAGTAGAGGCAGAGAGATCGCGGTCTCCTTTAAGCACGAAGGTTTATGGAGAACTCAACTTCTCTGAAACACTACATCTCAAAGAACCATAGCTTGGCTTTAAATACTGATAATAATACTTCAAATTTACTGACTGCCTTTTGTTCATAGTTCTCAAAATTTCTTGTAAATATCTCACTAGATGTTTCATGTGGTAAAGGAATAGGTAGTTGCCATGTTAGAATATTCTTTTTCTTTCTTTCTTTTCTTTCTTTTTTTTTTTTTTTAAGCAATCCCAGTGTCTACATTTGGTAAATGACCCACCAAATTATGTTAATCGGTACTTTGAAAGTTCTATCCTAACCTCTCTTTTGGTAGCGTGATGTCAAGGCATAGCCAAGAAGTTGATTTGATCACAATAAAATAATTAAAAGATTGCAAGGAAAATGAAACAGCATTGATATTGCTGTGATTAGAAATATAATTTAAGATGTAGATTTTGCTTTTAATTATTCTAGTTGATTAGGACATTTGGAACTCCTGGGGATGATGGGAAAGGTGAAAAAAGATGATGGGAAAGAAGAAAATAACATCTGTGTGATACATAATTTTGCCTGATACAGCAAGGCCACTTTTATTAGAGTGGCAAGAAATTACTCACTTTCTTCATATGTGTTTATTAAGGTAGGAACATGACCTTGAAAATCCGCCCAACCTGCCCCAGAACTACAGCAAATTTTGATACATGAATATATTCCATAGTGATGATATCACAGAAAAATTATTTGGCTTACTCACACCACCTACTTCTAGGACCGAATTCTGTGAACAATGTCCAAGTGATAGTCTGCATATATCATTGCCGATAAATTATCGGGCTGTATATGTGAGTATATGGTATGTTCATTAGGGTCTTGTGAATGGTCTAGCGGGTTGACAGGCTATGCTTATTAAAATCGAATTAAATCTTATCACGGGTAAATTTAATTTTGTAATAGTTACAAAAGAGGGTATACAGATGACTGGGCCATTTGTATATATGTGAGGTGGTTATTAGTAAGAATATATATTAAAATTATAAATTCAGTAGAAAATAGCAATTTCATTCAACATTAATTACTGTTCCTCTCCAAGACGATGGAAATGAGCATTTATTGATAGAGAAACTAAAGCATTAAAACATAATTCATTCCCCCTTATGTTCCCACTAACTGTTCTTGGTAAAAGAAAGGCTAATAATTCAGAAGTTTCAAGTGCCCCAAACCACAGCTTCTTTAGTGTCACTTTTAATTACAGTATTGATATAATTAAGCTTTTTCTCTATGTAGATTTGTAATAAAATGTAATATTTTAAAGTATAATACTGGTCTCTGCTCACAAAAAAAGTTGATGAAAACATGATAATGTTTATTCATCTAATTGTAATGAATGACCCTGGTGGAATTATGCGAGTTCAATCCATAGCTGTCCATAGACTTGAAAAACACATATTTCTACTCTACACAGTGCCATAAATTTTTTAGCATAAAAAGAACAA